GCTTAATATAGTCACATACATACTGCTTTAAAATCTCTAAAAAGACTATAAATATGATATATAAGCAAGTGCATGTATGATATATATAATTCACGATTGATATATTTAAGTAATGAAGATCCAGCTTCGACCGTTATTTTAATTTCTATAGTATTGATTGTGTTCTCTCATATATGCGGTCTAAAATAAAGATTCTTAATACTGTTTAAAATTTTTAGTTTTTTTCTTAACATATGTCTTAGTTATTATTATCATATAAATAATAAGTTAAAAAATAGTTCAATATAATTGCGATTGCATTTAATAAATAAAAACGTTTATTTTAAGTGTCATTTATATCTTGATATTTTACTATATTGTTATTTGAAATTATAAAAATTATAGTATAATTTTTTCATATTCGCGAGATAGCTAAGTATATCATATAAGATTATTATTGCGAACATTATAGCAGTAATAACTATAAATGGAGCTTCTAATCAAGATAATTATTTTACCATGCGATTATAGTCACAAATACAAACATTTTTCTCTCAGTGCGCGGGAGGGACAAACGATGCTGCCTCGTTTAGAGTTAAAATAATGGCAAAGTCGTTTGAGTTTGATCTTACTAAATATGCACACCAGGCCGTACACTGACGTGTAATACGTGCGTGTATGCGCGCACACGCATTTGCGTACGTACGCGCAATGCACAAACGTATCGCATTACTCGCAGAGCAACGCCCATTATCAGTTTCGGATGGCAGAGAGCGTGCACGCGAAATCGACTGGCACGTATCAGCGCAATATGACAAACGCCGCGTGTACGTGATTGACATTCGAACGACACGTCGCGCTGCGCCGTATTGCGTAGTTTACGAAAATTGCATCGTCGGATACAATGCGGTTTACGTACGCTAGAAAACAAACGGCGTAGTGTGTGCCGGCGCGATCAGAAAAATCACGCGATTTTCCACGCAGCGGTCACTTTTCAGGGCAAATCGCTTTTATGATCCTCTTTTCCTCCCTGCACAATTCAGTAAAAAATTGATTTTTTATTTACTTTTTTTACTATTATTATTTTTTATTTTCAACAAAAAGAAAGAA